ATTCTTTCTAAATTGTCAGATTCCCCAGACAGGGCTGAATCTAAACCCCAGCCCCAGCAGGGTCTGGTTGGTGTACCACTTTCTCTCTGTTTTAGTTTACATTCCTTACTGCTGTGGCCCTGTTCCAGTATATAATATGATGAGCTGTATCACTGTCTGGCAGTGGGTGATAAGCGGTTGATGTGTGAACATGCTGATCCCTGTCACTCTCCAGGGGTGGTCACTGACGCACAAGCAGCGATGCAGGAATGGCTGTGGGGTGCACAGGTGGGTGCAGAGCCCACTTCCCACACCAGCCCTGAGTGTCCTCTCTGCCCCACTTCCTGCAAGAACAGGATTGCCCCACTCTGTGTGATTGCTCTCCTGCTCTGCTTTCAACTTGCAGGTGAGATCGGCTCTTCCCAGTGGAGTCTGCCTTAGTAAAACACCTGGGAAAGTGGGATCTGTGCAAGGTGCAGCATGGAATAAAGTCCTGCTGTCATCTCACAGTGACCCACAGGCAGATGTACAAGGTGCTTGGGCCATGTGCTGGCAGCTGGGGCCTGGTGGGGGTCTCAGTGAGGCAAGGTCAAGGCTGCCCTGTGCCAGGGAAAGCCACTTCAAGGCAAACCAAAGGACCTGCTGCAGGACACAGCTCAGTTCATCAGTGATGGTCGTGGCTCCTCTGTGAACAGATCGATTAAAAAGTGCAAAAACCTGGCCTGGCAATTGTGAGAAACAGTCCGGCAGCAACAGGGACAGCAAAGGAAGGGGAGGGGTTGCTCCAGGTGCCAGAGCAGACATTCCCCTGCAGTCCCTGGAGGGGATCATGGTGAGGCAGCTGTGCCTCTGCAATGCATGGAAGTCCATGGGGGAGCTGAGATCCCCCTTTAGCCCACAGGATGACCCCATGGCATAGTCGGCTGCAGGCAGAAGGACTGCAGCCCATGGGACAGACCCACCCTGGAACAGAAGAATGTGAGGAAGAAGGAGGAGAGACAGCTCATTATGATGTGACTGCAAACCCCATTTTCTGTTCCCCTGCATTGCTGTAGGGGAGGAGGTAGAGACTCTGGGAATGAAGGAGTGAAGTTGAGCCTGGGATGAATGGGGGTGGAGCAAAGGGTTCTAGTTTAGGTTTTGTTCTTCATCACCCTACTCAATTTTGAAATGGCAATAAATTCAATTCATTTTTCCCTCCTTGAGTCTGTTGTGTCTGTGACAGTAACTGGTGAGTGATGTCTCTGTATTTGTATCAACTCATGAGGTTTTCTATCTTATTTGCCACTGCATCTTTGTGACAATTCGGAGCAACTGAGTGTGTGCCCAAGGTCACCCCACTGTAGCAGGTCACCTAAACATGAAATAGTTGAGGAATACATTCAGTGCAGACAGCTCAGTGTGCAGCTACAGTGAGAGCTGCAGGTTGTGCTCTGGGTGGCAGGAAATGGCAGGAGCCCCAGGCATGGAGCCAAGACCCCAGGCTATCATGTGCATAGACTGGAAGGGTGCAAAATCCAGGGATTTGGTTGTTGGGGGTTCCTTCTCCGTGACCCTCAGCTCGTGCTGCTTCTGTGCCACGATTAAATTGTTTTAAAAATCCAGATGTCTGAGACTCTGCGATGGAAAACCCAGTGTGGAGCTGGTAAGGACTCTGGGGATGTGTCTCTGTGGGTGTGGTCTGTGTAGGGGCTCAAGCGGGGCAGCCATGGGCTCACAGGAGCTGCCCCCTGCAAAGGGGCTTCAGTCCCAGCAGTGAAAGGCTCTGGTGGGAGGTGGGGAAATACTACTGTCCAAAACCTTCCTCTCTCTTCATGAAATGAGAGAAAGAACCATTTAGTCCAGAGCAACCTCTCAACCACTGTAATATTGCCTTTTCCAAACACAATCTCTCTTTCCATAAAAAGTTGAAAATACCTGCCCAGGGGACATTTTTATTCTCTTTCCCAGGATTGTATCCTGAAACAATTGTGACCTTCTGAACTTTGAGGTTCAGTTATAAATGGATTGGGTTTGCCCAGAAGAAATTGGGCAACCAAGAGCCTAAGTACTTAGCAAACCAAGGCTGCTCATCTGGGATTTCCAATCATGAAGGAGAAAGACAAGGATTGTGGATTGGGAAGATGTTCAGCCTGAGCCAAACTCAGATGGAAGCAATTCAATTGGTGTGCAATGTCTCTCAGATGCCAGGACATCTGTGTGTCCATCCAGTACAGAAACACAGCAGCCTGGTGCTCTTTGAGATGCACGAGGGCATCCAAAATATGCGCATGGGCTGGTAGATACAAAGCCTGGGATACTCCTTGCCCTTCTTGAGTGGTGCTGGAGGGGATGGATTTGAATTAAAAGCAGACACCTCTATTTCAAGCACCTGTGTGGGCAGACAGTCTATCCAGGCTTTGAAAACGCAGCATTTGAGAGTCTGGTTTTTTCCCAGTAGGTTTTTTATAAGGTACCACATTCCCCACACAGAGCTGAGCCCAAACCCTGGCCACAGTACTGTCCTGCTGGTGTCACATTTTCATTTCACATCCCTGTACAAGCACAGTCCCAGCACAAACAGTTCATTTTCAGAACTGTTGTAGTAGAATTAGCTTCCCTTGTCCTCACATACATATGCAGAGATGAAAAAACAAATTTTAAAATCCCCAAACAAACAAACAAGAAAACCCCACCAAACAAACAATGAAAACCCAAAAAACTCAACTCCCACCTTACACCATTTTTTCTTTTCTTTTCTGTCACCAAAAGCAAAGCAAACTTAGAATCACAGACTGGAACCATAGAATCAGTGAGATTGGAAAAGACCTCTAATATTGTCAATACCAACCATTAACCCAGCACTGCCAGGTACTTATGATCCCCTATCTGGCTCTTCTCTAGATGGCAGTCACCTTTGCCAAGCTCTGGGCTTTTGAAACCTCCCTGGTTATCCAGGACCTGGGATAAATGATGGGGAATGACTTGGTGACCTCTTCCACCAGCTTCCTCAGCACCCTTGGGTGGATCCTATCTGGCACCATAGACTTGAGAGTGTTTAGGTGGCACATCAGGTCACTAGATACTTCCTGGTTAACGGGGGGGGCTTCATTCCATTCCTTGTCTCTGATTTCCAGCTTAGATGATTCAGTACCCTGAGGACAACTGCTCTGACTTTTATAGATTGAGGCAAAGAAGGCATTAAGTACCACATCCTTCTCTTCACCCTTTGTGGCAATATTTCACCTCAAATCCAAAACAAAGGATGAATATTCTGCTGATTTGGTTTTTGTGCATTTCATGGGTATATTCTTTTCTTTCAATCATTTATCCCCACTACCATCATGTTAACCCCATATTTCAAGTACTTAAGAGTGCTCAGAGCTTTCATAATTGTTCCAACCTGTCTGTGTGTCTTTTATTGTATAAAAATTGCCAATTTCAGGAACAGCTTCTTTATCTACCTGAAAAAAAAAATTGACAGGATGGTACCCTGGCTCTTGTTGGGGTCAGTGTTTTTCTCCGTAGTCATCGGAACCATTGTCTACGACGTCACTGACAAAGCTTTCTGTAAAAACCTCAATTTCACCTGCCGAGGA